CCGCAATCGGGGAGAAGTTCCTTTACCCGATTGGGAGAAGTGCGTCATTAGAAGGCACAAAAGGAGCAGAAAGAGTGCAAAGGAAAGTTGGCGTTATCGAAGAAAGTGCCAGTAATTGAACCATTCACTTTGCCAATGAGGGAGGGGGTGAAGGACATCCTTCAGACGGGACTGATTAGCGCTGGAAGACTTTATCCTTCACTTTTTATCACTTCATTGCCCTTTCGGACCCATTTTCACTTTTGAAGTTCCGTTTCTTTTTCACCTTCCCCATAGTCCACCATACTTTATTGCTAGCAACAGCCATGGACATTGCACCCTCAATAAATAAAAGTATAAAGACTTGGGGCGTTAATCAATCTCGTCTGAGGGATGCGCCCCGCATTCGACTACTATTCAGATCGTAGTGGCGTATTGAATGCGTATGTGCCCTATGCAATGACTTGCTGTGGCTAACCGATGTACAAGTATCACTGCTTTTACCTCCCAGGCGAGTCTGGTACCAATTAACCGACCCAGTAGGGATGGAAGGCTTGGTTGGCCTACTCAGATTTCGAACCGGGATTCGAACCTGTAACAATGCGTGTGTGTGAAGGGCGCCACTTGTCACAACTATCATACTCTATTGCCATTAAAAGTAATAGGCCTTATGTGGGCAGTAAATAATGCTGAGCAGTTTCAGGAACTTTGCTTCCGAGCAATCATAATGTGTAAGACATGTTCGTCACCCAACAACAATAACATCGACAATCGTCGAGGTCGGATGCGGGCAATGTAAGAACATGGCAATCTCAAAGAAAACTCAGTTTATGGAATTCCCTGCCATTTTTGTGATGCATTATAACGGCCATTTCACTACGACCTTCAACGATCTCTTTGATGGTTTTGTAACCTATAAATGTAAACAGTCCTTGTGTTATGTTTCGATAAAAATTATGAATAAAAAATTGCTTTCGTTGTTTAGCATAACATGTTATCTGTGGAAAATTCGCCACATCATTTTCATTTTTATTTGCAGGAGCAAGTAGGAGGACCTATCTGTATCTATCTGAGTTCTGTATTTCTACTCCTAGCTTGAGACGTAATATTGTTGCTTAGGACAGTCTACCATGTCTCACTGCTACAATTTACTTGTCCGCTTCTTTGAATGGAACTGTGGTTTAACGAGATTAATTGGATTTCGCCAATCTTGCTGTTTAGCAACTGGCCGATGAATGGTGAAGTCTGTCAACCCGTATAACTCAAAGTTTATATTGGAAAAAAAGAAATGTTAAGCTGCAGGAATCAATACCTAAAAGCAACTTGCCAAAAACTCCGGTAAGGCTTAGCTTTTCTTTAAATTAACTATCTACGCTCCCTCGGTTGTTGAAGACTCATCTACTCAGCTGCAAGAAGCCCAATGAACATCATGAGTAACTTTTCGTCCCTTATTAGTAGATCGTATAAAGATACAGCATGTGATGAAAATAAATCCCGTGATTTACCTCTAGAATGAAATTGTGGTCCCCAAGTATGTATGTTTTATCTGACGCTGTCGCTTCTCAATAGGGAACACTGAAAGGATAAAGGTTAAACTCTTCGGCGTTGGTCAGTCCCCTAAGGGATGCGCCCCGTATTCGACTTCCATTCACAATCGTACTGGGGTATTGAATGCGTGTGTCGTCTATACAATGTTTTGCGGTGGCCAGCCAATGTACAATTCAGTGCTTTTACCCTCCCAGACGGGTCTGGTACCAATAATCGACATCGGAGAGATGGAAGACTTGGTTGGCCTGGGCGGATATCGATTTGTCTCACTTGTCGCCCCACCGTCACCGCCCTTATTCTGTACCATAGTTTCCATTATTACTTCCTTCCAGTCAACAGTTTGAGTGCTCTATATAGAACTAATTGCTTGTGGCTACCATCAATGTGAAATTACTCATGAATCCAACACAAGGTAAAGCCTTTTGTGAGATCGCCTCGTGCATACGGTCGTAGCCTAATCTCCGCAATTGCGGACAAGCGCGCGAAAAGCGGTGTTTGAAATTTTCAGTAGTGTATCAGAAGTTGGTCGCGAAACTGTGTTTGGCGCTCGCTCTTTTTTCTTTGAGATGCTTTCGGAAGTGTGAAGAGATCCAATACTTTGTTACTGTTCTGAATGGAAGATGTCGCCTCGGTTGTGTTTGATTTCTTCATGGAACGACACATTGTTCTCAAGGAGGAATGGCTCTCGGACGCGCTTTCATTCTTGACGTCGTCCCTCGATGAGAAAGCTGAGGTTGTGTTTTCATTGAGCTTCTCATAGGTTGTTTGTTTTTTGTCCTTCTAAAAGGGTTTACAGCTAGTTGAACTTAATGATCCGTTGCGGATAGCCACGCTGGTATTTGAGCAGTGGAAGTACACAGATCTCGGAGATTCTACTTATCCTCTATTGAAACAGCTCTCAATAAGTCGGGATGCTAAGAAAGTATTGATCACTCAGCCTGTAGTCCTTCAGGTACATTTACACTTGTACTTTTGAGTATTTTACAACTATTTCCTATTTCTGATAGATAAATATGGCTAAAACGTCCCAAAGCTCAGAACTGCAGCCATCTCATTTCAGAATATTCTGCTTTTAGGGTCTATATTTTAGAACTTCGAGGTGGATGCTCAACTCTTACCCCATCTAAGCTTTTGGGACTAGTTAATCATCTCGTCCATCCCGGATATAGTCTGAAAGACTACAGATACTTAAATACCTTATCTTTATGATCTGGTCGGTCTTCTTGTGTTGTTCACGTTAGATTATTGCTTGGAAGGGGTGGCCTTTTTGATCAGGTAAGCGCGAACGTCTAGACGTCCCGGTGGCTTTCAACAATCGTAGGATCATTGGGTTGATATAGATATACGAGTACTAGGGAAGGTCTTACACTCTTACTCTTACAACTCTTACATTCATGAAAAATTTCTCTCATGTTCTCCCCCTAAAAGGATAACTTCACAACAGCTTCTTTTATATTCACCTATACCAGCATCCTCGGATTAGTTTTTCGATGTCACTTCAAACTTATCACGTGTGGGAAGGAGAAAAGAAGAAATAATAGCAAAAAGAGTCCGCGTTGTTGATGGGTTTTCAAATCATTTCCTATTTGTAGATCAACTCTGTTGTCGACATTGGAGCTCCGTATCATTCTCAATTTAGTGCATTAGTTTATGAATTTGTCGACAATACCGGATTCGAACCCCTGCCTGATATGGAGCAAAGGCAAGGGTTAGAGAATATCGATGCAGTGAGTTTTTATACCCAAATTTGATTAGCTCTGATATTAGGCTGCTATAATTCCTAGAAACCTCGACGTATGCTTACATTCACAGTAAGTGACGGAGAAATTGATTTGAGAGCGATCGAATACTACTCTATAAAGAGCCTGTCTCTCCTCACAAAGCCTGGATCGAAGGTAAGCTTTTTGCAATAATGATTTCTTGTAGTAAAAGAGTTAAACATTTTTCATTTCACTGCTTTTGCTTCTTTTAGATTCTACTGATACCACCTATATTATGCAGAAAAGGAGTGCTTCTGTTGAAACCTAAAAACATCCAATTTTTAGGTACACATCAGTTACATTTTTTCATATTTGTTCTAGCATAGCATAGCATTTTCAGAACGATTTTGTTTCAGGAGGTGATGTTGAGTCACATTTTATGATTGGGCGACCTCTTCAAGTGATGGCGGAGAAGTTGAACATTCCTGTACCGAAGTCGATGTATGTATTTGAGTTTTACTTTCGAATTTTGATTTGCTATTGTTTTATACTGCGTTTTCTGTTTATATTCATTTTGTCTATTCATAAGGTTCAATATCTTGAGTATTTTCGAACTACGCTCCTTTTGAGTTTTAGAAATCGAGGCAACCTTCATGAAGAAACTGTTCAGTGTAAGGAGCCTAACGAGATGAGAACTACGGTAGAACCAAAAGACAAGTAAGTCTAGAACCATAGAGTAGTGGATAGTCCACATTTAATATTACGACTGGTTTTGCAATGTATGATAATGTTCTTTAAGGAGAGTAAACGTAGCGGTTAAGCCAGTGATTATACCCACTGGTCCAGACGCTCCTGAAATTTGTGACGAGGATTATGATTTTGATCCCACTGAATATGACAAAGGTTCCTTTTTTGTAGTATTTCATGTCTGTCACTTTTTTTACCCTTTTATCCTTTTCAAAATGATGTCGTGTTCGTTTAACAATTATTAATTTTGGCTAGTTGTAGAGGAGGCACTAGATGGTATTGAAGATTTTGACATGGAAGATAATAATCAAAATGACGAAGCCATACCTGAGAGCAATTCATTTGAGAAGACATATGGGAACTGCAGGTTAGAGCTTTGTTTTTATAAATGTGTGCTCCTGAAATTCGTCAAATAGCTCACAGTTCTTATCCCTTTCTATAAAGGCGCCTGCTGGTATGTTGTTTATGCTATTTTCTCGTTGGCAGTATCAGTCACTTATAGTGAATTAATCTTTCTCTGATCTCTAATCCTTTGTGAGTCTCACTTCGATTTATGAAATAAGTAGTATTTACTCTGGCTGCGGCTTCCGCTCATCCTATTACTTTAGCCATACTAACTTGTTTTGCTTTTCTCGGTTCCTGTTTCTTATTGTCATTCTACTAAGATCACTTATTGTGTGGGTTTGAGGCCTTCTGCAGTGGTACCTGAGTCTACTTCCACTGGCGAAAATTCCAGACGGATCTGTTCAAAGCCCGTGGCGCAGGTTTGTTGTTCAAAGTCTTGCTGTTTTTTCTTGATGAATTGCCGCACACAAAGCTGTTTAGATTCCTCCGATGAAGACTGTGGAAAGACCCTCTGAGGCTGCAACTCGAAGTCGTCAGTGTTCTATAGAACTCGAGGAAACTCCGCCGGACTTTGACGCGGAACTTGCAAATTTTTCGTCCGCAAAAACGTATGACTTTACAAATATGTGGATTTCTTCAAGCACGTTTTTGAGAGTTTCCCTTCTCTGCTTTTCAGTTCTCGTTTGTCAACTTCATCTTCTGAAAAAGAAGCCATACTTGTGAGTGTATTCAAAGTTTCTGTCTTTTAGTTTTCAAGCTTCCGAAGGCTCCCTTTATTGACAATTGGGCTTTCTTGCTTAGGGGCGCGATATTGATGCAAGTGATAATTTTTCTCCTGCTGCATCTGAAGATTTCGGCAATACTCGGAAGCGCTCGTCATCTGCCAGAGCTCCAAGTGGGTTGTTGTCAATTACATAAAATATATCCACAACTTTTGTCCTCATATTTGTTGTGCAGACTTCGAGAATGTAGTCCCATTTAGCCTCATTGATATCGCTCTGTGACTCCCAAGCTGAGACTTCTGGATTGAAACAAATTCCTTGCGCTTCCTTCGATCCTGGCCGACGCCCTATCAAACTAGGTATGTTGCTAGAGATAACTGTCTACTTTCTCTGAAAATCTCTAGGTAACTAGAGATTTTTAGAGAAAGAAGACATTGGGGTTAAGCCAGGTACAGCAGTTGTTTCCTGGCTTCGTTGAAATGTCCCTCGCCTTATTGTTTATGGTGTTTTTGGTCTATTTCCTTCAATTTTCAGGTATTCAAGGTTTCCTTCAGTCCGCTTCACCGCCAGTAAGAAGACAAATTAGTGAGAGAAAAACGAGTACGGAGACCACACGTAAAAAGGTGATAAAAAGTGATGTCAGCATTGCGTATCCAAGCGCTGCAAGCTATTACCCTACTGAGATTCGGAATTAAGGTTAAAATCGAAGTTATCGACCTTGAAGACGATTTTGATTCGACAATGCCGTCGTCCAGTCTGACCCAGTATTGTGTAAGCACACAAAATGAGTCAAAAGCAGTGGAGTCCCGCTCACAGGTTAGATTCGTTGTGAGATTTGATTAATATAGCTGATATTCACAGCTTTTCATTGCTAGTCTTTTAAGAGTAATTCTGATAACGAACTGGTGGTGAAATTCCAAAAGCTGAATGTCGTGCGGATAGCTGACGCTCTGAGACAAATGCGTTTTGCTGTAGGATCGTGTCGGAAAACAGTTCAGGTAGGCTGTAACACGTCTTTTTTTTAAAAATTGTTTGCTGTTATTTTTCTACTTTGTACGGTTTTGCTTGTGATCGTTTTCTTCAACGTGAATATGAACGACGTTAGACCTCTTTTTTTGGCATAGATGACGATATAAATCGAATTCTAGGCAATCATTCTGGATGTCGTCGACTCGCTCAGAATAGTGGATGGAATGTGGACTATGAAGGTAAAGCTTTGCTACTACACCTAATTATTGAGGACTCGTTCTTGCCTTGTCACAACAGAGAGGGTGGCACTTGCCTTTTTTGGTGAGAATATTTTCCAGTTTATTTGTTTTTTTAGGTCAGCATACAAGACGAGTCAAGTGACAGCTTCATGTGTTTGATAGATAATCCCACATTATCATCGCTCATCGGCCTTACACCAGCTGAAGCATTGGTCAGTCACTCTTCGGATGGCCGATTAACCTTACTTTCTTCTCAATCAATGGTATCCTGTATTTCTGCTTTTTTAGGAGGTCCGTGCTTCTAGTGACATAGAACGGCGAAAGGATGGTCAGCGTCGTTTGGGAGCTGTAGAAGAGCAACTAAAACGGCTTGATCTGCTGCTTGACGTGGAACTTTTCAGTGGAAGTCGCGCAGATCCTGTGATTCGAGGCATTCGAACCTTGATGCAAGTACTTGATGTTTCGTAGCAGTAAATGCAAGAGTATCTCATGAGTCCATTAGTCAGCAATTCATGTTTGTGTGATTTATTATATCAGATCTCCTTATATCGCTCCATAATCTTCCGTGGCTTTCCAAGAAATCTTTATATACGGGATTATGTACAAATGTGTATTTCTTCTTCAGTTGTGTGAAATATTTTTTGATTTTCGTTGCTGATTGTTGCTGATTTTGAGAAATGTTTCATGCTTTTCTACGATAAATTCCACAAAAAGGATTTTGGATGAGGAACTGTTGAACATATCATATGCAGTGTCTGCTCTACTGAACCTTCTCTCGAAGCACCAGCTATGAAGTCCAGTAGCCGAGGTGGATACCTACTTTTGAATATACATTCCGAAAAGTTCTGAGCACTAGTTGAATAATAACGGTATGGTCTCAATTTCATGGCGCAATCCCTGGATAGTGTGTGCTACAGTGGAAAAAGAATTGTGGTTCCAAGATTATTTAGATTAGTCACACTCGATTGATCGCCCAATCAACGGGCCAGATGACGATATTGAAGCATGAGCTCCTACTGCAACTCAAGAAGGATAAAGTGGGCGCCTCATGAAAAAAGAGGAGAACCGTGCATAAATGACTCAGTGACCCAGAAAGTAAACTTAACTAGTTATAAAATGTATAAGTCGGCAGAGGAGAGTAATTTTGCTAGACATAGTAAATTTATTTGAGGAGGTAGGCTGAGTGAGAGCACGCTCACTGTGGACGGGCTGAAATAGGGAACGGACCACCTGTATTAAACTTTCACATGATCTTATCATCTGAACATTAGGAGGAAATTCAGTCACAAGCTCAGAGAGGGATGGCACAGCAGAAGGCAATATACATCGGTCGTTACTCTACGTCCCCATCAGAGAATGATCAAAAGCCGGTACAAGGTCGCCACAGTAGGAAGGAATGGAAAGGCAGAGCCTTCCTGCTCAGAACGATTCCGTTTCGGGATACTTTTCAGCATTTGCCTTTCATTTAGGGCTGAAAGGGTGTTTGAATACGTAGATAACATACAAATGTTTTGCTGTGGCCAGCTGAATCAAAGGCAGCGCTTCCATACTCTCAGACGTATCTAGTACCACCCAACAGACCCCGAAGTAATGGAGAGCTTGCTTAGTCAGGGCTGGTGTTGATTCCAGATTAGGTTCCAGGACCATGGGTGTGACAGTACAGTCTTTTGCCATCGTACCCCTTCTGATCGTTGCTGTTTACTTTTCTTTCTTTCCGTTGTAATTCTGAATGGAAGGAAGGAACGTTTGCTCTTTTTCGTGCCTTCAATTGACGGCGCTGTTTTTGGTTCCATGCCATTAACTATAGATGTTCTTGTCTGGTTCTAATCTGAAATATAGATTTTCACTGAAAAAACTGGGCCATTT